GGGGGGGGTAATATATCTGCTATAATCATTTTTTCTAGTTTCTCCGTATCAGAATCTAGGGAGCTCGTTGCTGCTGGAATCCTGCATCATGTCCTCCTGTGACCTGTCGACTTCACCTACTACTCTTGCACGCCGGTGCACGACCTAGACTCCATCAGAAACACACTGCAACGCCTACCTGTCCGCTGGAGACAGTCTATACGCTTGAACCTCTGTAGAGGTGGGTAAATTGTCTACTGAACTATACATAGGCAGGCAAAATTTTGTAAAATATCCCCTTAATACATTTACTTACTTTTGGCAACCCCTTTTTGGCAAACCCTTCCGCTGCTTCCGCAATTGCGTGAAAATCCCTAAGAGACCCAGAGGGTCCTTTCACGCAAGAAACGGGAAACTAAAGACGACCTTCACCCAGCTTCAATTCCTACCAACCGCTCATTACCGTATATGCGTCCACATACACAACTTGGAGACGACTTCTCTTGCCTCTCTGAATTATACGCGCACACACACACACACACACACACACACACACACACACACACACACACACACACACACACACACACACACACAGAGAATTTTATATCATGGCTAAAACACCATGAAAACAATCGTTGTTTCCTTCTGCGAGAAGTCAAAAACGTGCCCCTGATTTGCACACAACTGCAAAGGTGGTATATAACCGTAACCTGAACTACTCTCAGAAATACCCCTACCTCTCTGAAATGGGGTCAAAATTGCTGCGAATGTTCGCAGATCCCTACAAGGTGGGTTTAACAGGGTGCACCTATCAAATACATAACCTTAAATCACCTCTGGGGTCACTTCCTCGGGCTAAGGTTCTTTCCTCTTCGTCTCAGTTTGGCGTCGGGCGACGGGTGTGAAATTCCCTTCTTCATCTCCAATTTGATGTCAATGTCCTTTTCCTTATTCAACTCACTGTCCCAGTGTCCCGTATTTCCACTGTCGCTCGCTGTTTCTCCTCTCCCCGTGTACGATATTTAAGATAATATCCTCCATATACCAACTCTCTCTCTCTCTCTCTCTCTCTCTCTCTCCGTGTGTGGGTGCGTCTGTATGTATTGTTCTCTCTCCTTTATATTCCCTTCCCTTCTTGTCTCAATTTTTCTTTCCTTGTTCTCTCAGTGTTCGTGTTTATCCCCTTTTGTTCTTTCCTTCTTTCTAGACATTGCGTTGCTTTTTACTTCTACGGGTTGCTGAAGTGATGGATCGATTTCTCGACTGCTGGATCGAAGAGCGTATTCTTTCTCAGCAGGGGAATATATATGATATATCCGCCAACAAGTAGTCTCCAGCCTCTCTACACTACGAGCTGGGTGCCAGTGGGGGGGGGGGTTATTACCCAAAAAATGGTCTCTACAGAGACTACAATGTCCCTACATTACAAGCGGGGCGGAGTACTTTTCCTTGCGAGAGGGGGTTGAATAGCCCAAAAAAAAGGTGGTCTCTACAGAGACTATAATGTCCGTACATTACAAGCGCGGTGGAGTGCTTTTCCTTTTTTCCACATTCTCCTGCACTTTCACCGTTTCCCACGCGGAACAGAGACTTCAAGCCAACTCCGCTTCTTCAGAGTCCGGAGGCAGTGAAGGAGATTCATCTGGAATCTGGAACCGGAGGCAGTGAAGGAAATTCTTCTGGAATCTGGACTAGCAGGCAGTCCACTCATGACTGTCCAATCAACAGCGTACTAGGTATGAGGTATAACGTACGTATTAAGAAAAGCAGGTTAAATATAACAGAATTGCGGGTCATTTTTTCTTACATTAATGTCGTGAAGTCATCTTCTTGTTCTTTTGAAAATTTTTGCACACATCATACGTCACCATTGCGTCGAATTGACCGAATCCCAGATAATAAACACGTTACGTATACAAGCAACGTAATATAGAACGCAAAATATAAATGTGAAACATTGCATTCTATTATCGAATTCCAGGGCCCGTCCTTCGGGACATCCGTTAAAATTGGAACGATACACAGAAGATCAGCATGGCCCCTGCGCAAGGACGACACGCATAAATCGAGAAATGGTCCAAAAAAAAGAAAAAAAAAAGGGCCACGATAGCCACATCGTCACTCAGAACGCATCGGGTTTTGCTTTCCTCTTTTTGGGTGTTTACTTTCACTCTGCTGTTTTGTTTAAGCTCAGCTGCCTCAGCATTATTGATGATCACTCACAAAACGAGTAGCGTGGATTTGAGGCGCACCCTATCAACACGTGGTTTAATAAATTCGCACTCTACGCGCCTGTCTTCGGGGCTCGCCGCACCCCCCACCAAACGCCAACATCTTGAATTTAACCTTTCTTTTTGAATTACGTCTTAAATGTAACAGAAATAGCCTTGTGCCGATACATCGCAATTGTCGGCGTTAAAAAATAAAAATAATATAAAAATAATAATAATAATAATAATAATAGTAAAAATTTTCAAAAAAAAATTGTCGGGGTTTGGCGGGCGGTGAGACCAGTCTCTTCTTCTTCTTCTTCTTCCTCTTTTTTGGGGGGGGACCAATGTCTCGATAATTGCGTGCAATATGAAAAAAAAACATGCCAGGTCCCTTCTTTCCCTCTGATGCGGTAGCATCGTGATGAGCAGAGCTTCATTGCTATGCAGCAGTCTGACAAAGAGCCTCGTCGCACCACTCACTCAATAAAGGTATATCTCTCCGTGTTCTCGCGCGAAATGCACTCTCCATTTTTTTGCACATCTGGTGGGTAGTGCGGCAACGTCCAAGATCCAGATCCCAACCCCACCAAACACAGCCTTCACAATCCACCATGCTGCTCTACACACAGGCGTACCGCCCAGACATGCTCGAACAAAGAGTTTACGCCTCCGAGACGGACAGAAACATGTGGACAGCAAAACCCATAGATCGATCGATATTGCCAGAGTCACAAAACCGTGCGTATGTCAATGTGACAGTCGTCATTGACAACCAACCGGTGAACCATACCGATAGGCTGATAGCCCGAAAAGGAGGAAGGATGAGGAAACACAGTGGGATCTATTACAGAATTACAGACCGATTCCGATTCGTCCGAGTGTCACCAACGCAGACGCATCAAGAAGCTGAAAGTTACATGTACAATCAGACCGAGCTACGAAACTATCCTGAAGTACCCGACGAAACCGTACACGCGACGCGACGAACGACAAAGAAACAGGCAGTCCTTCCAGCTTCAGAACCTTGTCATGACCAAAAACCGTCTTCCTCCGAACACAACAGACCCTCATCATCAATGTATACACGCTAGCTTTTCAGTCCGATACACTGAAGGAAAGTGCGTTGTGCTCGGGGGAAGACGGTAGTGGCTATGGCTACGCGTCTCTTCCTCTTTCCCCCATCCACACAACCTTACTTCCCCCAGTTTCACAGCCTCCTCTCCTCGTTCTTTTCTTACCAACCCCCCCCCCCCCTCCCTCCTTAACCCCCTCTCCCCGGTTCCCTCCATCTGAAAAAAAAAGACGACATATCCAATCTTGAACGAGCACATTAACGACATTAGTGTTCAATCTGCGGATACATGACCATAGAGCACGAGCAAGCACATACACGACCATATAGGTCGAGCACGCACTTCGACGACCACAATCGAACGTCCCAGGCGGATTCGATCTGCATACCTCTCGAATGCTTCCTCTTGCCCGTAGAGTATATACACAGTGTGTGTCCGCTCAAAGCCTCAAACGTGAACTAGGATTTTCTCATTCCCCGTAGTGGTTGGCTGCGCCTCTTCTCCAACCCAGACGACCGTCCTTCCCACGCTTCCCCTCCCTCGTAACTGCCGCCACCCCTTCATCCGTCGACGACAACCCTTCACCCCCATCAACCCGACAATCATGCACAACAGCCACAAGCTAGCCCTAGGCAGAATCGGCACTACTTCACTCTCTCCTCAACTACCCACCCACCCCAGATCTCAGGTGCTCCGAGTCTGTCTTCTGATTTCCCTCAGTTCTACAATGCAGCTCACCTTCGTTTTTGCACGCTGTTCACTTCATCTACTCCTGTTCCTCCTACCGCGCGGTCCTCTTCAACCCTGAAGAGATCCGCCACTCAAAAGATCCTTCACTCAAAAGATCCTTCACATTCGTTCAAATAGCCCCTCCCACCACCATGCCGGAGAGTAGCACTAGCCTCTCCCTCTCTCTCTCTCTGTCTCTCTCTCTCTCTCTCTCTCTCTCTCTCACACACACACACACACACACACACACACACACACACGCACGCACACACGCACGCACACACGCACGCACACACGCACACACACACACACACACACACACACACACACACACACACCGATTTATCGAAATTGCCATGGACACGCACAACAATTTACCGAAAGTGCCATGGACACATGCAGATGAGCATGATCATGTTGTCAACTATCTTACAAAACGGAAGAACGTATACAACTACAACGAAGTTAAAACACAATTATACACATCATGACCTCGAACGAATTTCGGAGTGGAACTGGCGAGGGGCGTGAGATTCAAGCTGATTACCGGTATCATCGGCGGTATGTCAAACTCTTCAAGTGCCTGTCATGTCAAAGTTCACGTACTTCAAGTGTAATCTGCTTGAATCTAGCCCTCCTATTCTGTCCGTAGTCGAGGCCTTTCCTCTCCCCTCTCATCCCATCCCATCCCCTATCTCTACGATGTGATCTGCTTAACAGCCTGTGATATTTCCGCCTTTTTTTCTTCTTTCTTCTTCACAGCTTGGTCCATCTTTCTCTCCTCCTCTTTCCCTGCCCCCTTGACGACAATCACGGGCACGGCCGAATGATGCACCAGGTAGTCGCTCACGCTCCCTAGGAGTGCACGCCTGATGGCTCCCAATCCGCGATCCCCCACGACCACGAGATGACAGCGCAGCTCCTCCATCACCGTCAGTATTATCTGTCGAACATCCCCTTCCACTATGTGGATGAAGGAACAGATTTGCCTTTCGGAAAGCATTTCTTGCAGCGTCAACAACCACACATATCTGTCCCAGGTCGCTGCCAACTGGGGCGACATAGACCCGCTCGGGGGCACACCTACTCCGCGCCGAACAACATGGAGAAGATGTACTTCATCGCCCGCCCTCAAGAGGTGCCAATCGGCCCATCGGACGGCGTGCAAGCTCTCCTTCGACTGATCAACGGCTATAAGAATCCGTCGTGGAGATCTGGGCTGCCCACCAAGGCTCTCGCCGCCGGCACCGGCAGGCGGAACGGCTTCAGGGCCCACATCAGCCATGGAATTCGACGAGAGATAAACGAACGGCCTGGGCGGCTCCACGTGGCGCGCGCTGATGAACTTCCGAGAGGAAGGCGATGTCGACGAACCCCAACGTCTACCACTTGCACGCCAACACCCTCCCAGAGGAATGAGACACTCAAACTGAAGACACGCTGTGACACTGCGTGACGATGGCGAGGACGATAGCGCTGACGACAACGAGACGAAGCGCCTCCTTGTAAACGGCAGTCGTGCACTGTTCTGACTGGAGCAGACCTGCTTTACACCCGCGCGCTCCTCTGCTCTATATCCTATATCACTTCCGCGCGCCTTCTCGCAAAAGCAGCTATGCCAATCCGCACAGTTCGACATTGGCCACGCGTGGACGATCATCTTTATGTTCCACACGCTCGCATGCGCGGCTCCCGGCGCCGACTCTCGGCGCGGCTCGATCAGAACTAGCGTAGCGCGTATCCCTGGGGACCTGAAACAATCGGCGACAAGACAGTGTCAAGGAGGTCAACAACACCGCACGCTCTCGACGACCACCGATTGAGGACGCCCGATTGAGGACTCAGTCTGTACGGGAAGGAGCCAGCCCGCCCCGCCGGCGCCAGAGCAGTCAACACCGCGACGTCTCGACGACCACCCGTTGCAGATGCGAAGGGTTGACCATAGATGACCTGAGTGCCAAACAGCGATCGGCCCCACAGCCTTACCAAAGTCAAGCAGCCTGTTCGCCTCTTATTTTCAAATACGACGTATATGCGTTCCACTTTATTTATTAATTTATTTATTAATTTATTAATTTATTTATTTATTTATTTATTTATTTATTTATTTATTTATTTATTTATTTATTTATTTTTCTTGAGGTCCGATGGACCGCGGATCAGATACTAAACTGATCAGAACAGATACTACACTTTATCTATTTTTAGCCGAAAGGCCAAGAAAGGTATCCATTCGAATTTTTGAAGTTTTCCAGAACTCTAATGCCCGGCATATGCCTTATGTTCGGGGGAAGACGGAAACTGTCACATTCGTGTGCAGGTCGTGCTCATGTCTTGTCCATTGACTTTTCTTTTTTTTCTTTTTCGCCTGGTGGTTGCTTCGTTTTCTTTCTAGACCTCGACTGACTATTTGCTCGCCTTAGAAACCAGACACGCCGAATAGGACCACCCATAACTGATATGCGCCGGCCGTGAGCAAGCGGCCTAGCTCAGTTGGTTAGGCACGCAAGTGGCATACACGAGGTCGTGGGTTCACTCCCCGCTCCCCACTGATCCCCCGGTAAGGCGCACAAGTGGCATTCAGGAGGTCGTGGGTTCAATCCGGACAGCTCTTTCCCTCGTTCCGTATTGGTAGGCTCCTTGGCTATCACGGGTGTGCATGTGTGTGTATGGTTTGTGTGTGGTGTGTGGGAGAGTGCTGGCCATAGACACCAGTGCCTCAGAGTGACTGCTGACCGGATCTGTCACGATGATTTGACCGACCAATCACGAGACCCTTTTCCAGTGACGGGGCCGGTCACAGTGACCGGTCACAGCGATTTTGGGACCTTCCAAGGCCCCCGCGGCCAAGAACGCCAAGAGGGGGTTGGTGCAACGGCGCCCTAGGCCCCCATCGAAAAAAAAAGGAAAACACATTATAAAAAAAAAGAGGGGGTCCACGCCCACTTCAATAAATTAAATAAAAAAACTCAATAAATCAATCAATCAATCTGCTTGTGTTCCGGACCGCCAGAACAGCGTCCCACGGGGTCTCTCACGCATGTTAACGCTTGAGAGGAAGAGGACGGCGCCATCTTAAGCACGACATTTTGGTGCCCTGGTGTGGGAGATGGGGGCACTGCTGCTGGTGTGGGCACGAGCTTCCAAGACGGGGTTGCGAACGCTACTACTGGGAGCGCTGGTGAGGCGTAAGTGTGTGACATTCAACCTCACGCCTTGTTCTGTCTTCTGGTCCGAGTGATTAAAAATATGGAACAGGCCCTGGAAGAATCAACAAATGGGGTGTGCCAAAATTTTTGGCAAATGAGTGTCGGGACACACCCAAAACTGAAATCACCCGCCATGCAACCACTCGTACACACATACACCTTCCTTACCCAGGTACTTGCGATCCCGGCCGCCACATACCAACCTCCACACCACAACGATCGTCACCCCGCCAACTCAGCTGCTACACCAACTTGCCCACATCCCGCAATCCGTCGTGGCCACCGGGCGCACAGCCTTGCAAAACTACAGCCAGCTCATCGGGACTTTTCGACTCGCCAATCATCACATCATTTACCCACGGCTTTCCTCGGGCTGCGAAATGGGTAGAGAGAGAGTTTTCGGATGCGCTTAATTTTGTAGTTGCGAAGAGGGAGATAGAAGATGGGAGAGACAAGGGAGATGGCAGAAGGGAGAGAAGAGAAAATACGGTTTAATTGCCCGAGGAAAGCCATATCGGTCCCCATTGGTTCTTTCACACCCAATCAGACTACAGTGTGAGGGGATATATCCTCCTTACACGATGTCGTCCAATGGCTCGAAGGCTCTGCAGGGGGAGTGAATCGATAGGGAGTTCTTGTATGGGATGAAGGGGGGAAGAAGGAAAGTGTGAAGAGTAGTGGGACCAAGATTCAAACGGAAGAAGAGGGAGAGAAGCGCGAGGAAAGGGGGGATGGAAAGCAGTTATGCTAAAAGGGAGAAGACGCGAACTTGAAGGAGAGAAAGGTGAAGATGGTTTGGGGCATCGCGGGAAGCGGAGGAAGCCTGCGTGCATGGCACTCACATACAGACAAAAAGGCACCAAAACAGTTACGTTTCATTCATTCTAGTTCTAAGACTAATTCAATATTCAAAATTCAAAAGCATTATCTGCGCAAGGAATCGAACACGGGAAAACCCTATGCTTATTCAGATTCCTACTGAAAACTCACAGAGCTTTCAATGACGAGTTTTTTCACATTCACTTGCAAGAAAGGACGCGTCATCGGGAAGTGTGCCCACAAATTCCAGATTTCCCCAACTACCTAACAAAATTCCTAGTTTGCTCGCTAAGGCGCACGTCTACGTGACACCGTCAGCCGCGGATCCTGAGGTCGAGTCCGAGGCCGAGGAGGCCGGCCGCGGGCCCACGGCCGAGGCCGCGCCACGCTCAGGTGGGGGCACGCGCTCAAAATCGGCACGTGCGCTCGGCCTGCACATGTCGGCCGCTATCGGCCTATACAAAAAAAAAAAACAAATCCAAAATTTGGGAGGTGGTTTTTGATGTGTGACAAAAAAAATTTAATAATAATAATAATAATTGATTGATTTTTCTTTTATTGATTGATTGATTGATTGATTGATTGGTGAGGGAGGGGTCCTACCTCCCCTCCCCCCGGCTCACACACACACACACACACACACACAGAGCGGAACGCATGTACAAACACCCACACCAACACACACACACACACACACACACACACACAGCGGAACGCATGTACACACACCCAC